TGAAGCGATCTGCAATTATTGTATTCCTTCTATTAATCGTCATTCTCGTGAGAAACTTGAAAAATACTAGTTTACGTTACAAGTGCGGAAAAGTCTCTTTGCGCATGTGCTAGGCAAGGACTATACACAGTCACCACAGTGCTACGTACACTTTTTTTTCTACTTGGGTGCAGGAAAATCCCAGAATATAACATGAAGAAACATTTATTATTATTGAATATTCAAATGTCAGTATACATCAAAAAAACTTGACAAATCTGCTTTTCCTGACTGACATTTTAATGTTCGATGATAATATTAATGATAATAGATAATTACCATTCCTCTTTGTGAACTCTTGTGTTTTTCCCATAGGCTAGTAGAAAAAAAGTGTACCTAACACGACGTGCAGAAAACTATCACTTTCCGCAATTGTTAGGTAAATTACTATTCAAGATACATAATATATACATATATGGAGAGATATCTCAAAGTAGATGCCAAATAATGAGAAAGAGAAATAATGGTAAAAGTGCACTTATCATGCGATGGGGTTTTTTTCGAAAATTTTTTTTGGTACTCACGTATTTTCGTCTGAAAAACACGAATTTCATAATGAAAATGTGAACAAACCACTATTTATCGAGATATTTCAAGAAAAAGTTCGAAATTTTGCCTTCTTTTCCCCCTTGTGTTGGATGCATTCACAGGTACTTGCTCATATTATTTTGTAATTGGACACTTTATACACATTTTGAGATAGAAAATTCAACAGGAAATATGATTTTTATGGCGAGTTTTTCCTATTTAGTGAGCAAGCATATCAGATGACGACCATTTAATCCATATGCAATCCAAATACGATATGTCAAATGTCAATAGATTGCTTTGGAATGACATTACACACGCCATTATTTCAAATGATATTCTTCCTTCTTTTCACTAAACATGGATAAATCACAAGAAAATCATATTTCTAGTTGACTCATATAATAAAAAAAATGTGTCCAACATTGTGTGATTTATATATTGTCCAATGATAGAAAAAGAAGGGCAAATTGTTCTAAATGTGATCCAGAAGACAGGCGGAGAAGATGGTGAAATTTGTAACTTTATAGTGAAATATCTCAATAAATAATGGTTTGTTCACATTTTCATTATTAAATTCGTGTTTTTCAGACGAAAATACGTGAGTACCAAAAAAATTTTCGAAAAAAAACCCATCGCATGATAAGTGCACTTTTACCGAAATGATATCTGATTTGATGAACCATCGAAAGAATTAGGTGAGAACAAGAATGAAAAATGAAGAAGAAAACAAATGTTAATACAGCGTTTGGTACTGGCAAGCAATAAATATAGGTATTTTTCAACACCATCTTATAGAGGATCACGATTAATTCTTTATGTTCAGATAAATTAAGTGATTTGGCTATGGAAGGGACATTTTTTTTCGTTAGAATGCTGAAATAGGGAGTCATTACTATAGTCCAGGCAACGTTGCTCGAATATATCTATAGGTAGGTACTCATAGGTACCTAGTTCCAAATGAATACCAAAATCTACCTATTGCCTGGACTATTGTTCATCAAAAGTGATTCCAGAAACATTACATTAACTTATTTGAAGCTGATATTAGGCCATTTCATGTTTGAATATAACAATCTGAACCCACACACGAATTATAATTATACAGTTTGATACAAATACCTATTGAACAATGAATAATAATATAAAGATATACTTAGGTACCTACTTAATATAATAGGTATGTATAGACAGATATTTATTGTGGAATGACAGTTTCATGATTCGATGTATGAACATAATAATACTAGTTACTTATCAAAGTGGTCAATCCAAAAATTTTGCCAATGTTCTATTCTACCTGGTAATTTTCAGGATATTTCTGAATGAAAAGTTGAAGAGGTTGAAAATCACATCAATTATCATAATATCGACACATCAAATCTGTACCTTCATGATATTGAATAAATCGAAATTTGTTAAGGGGATATATCTACCTTTCTCAACATCAAGAATTTGATTATTTCTATAGGTGAGTCGAATATTTCCATTAAATTTATTTTCAACAATTCAATTCTAATCAATTTAGGGTTTTCTAATTGACTATTATTCGATGAATTTTATGGAGAAAATATTTCCTCAGTTATATTACCTACATCAGAAATATAACAATATGATAGGTTCCTACAAATATTGGATGATGTTATTTTCTAAAAAGAATAATCTGACTAATTTCACTAAGTGATTGAAACATCAATCGATACCGTGCTAGAACAGACATTGGTAAAATATTTGAATTGACGTTAGTTACACTCATGAAGATGAGTACGGTGAGTAGGTTTATGAGATGCAATTCATCTGAAAATATATTTTTCTACGGCTATAACACGAAAGAAATTTAGTGTTTGTCCTAAATTTCATGTCCTCATCTGATAACACAATATGGTTTCATTGTGTCAATATTCCACAGTGAATGTCATCTGTAGATAGAGCATGACTTAAGAGAAAATCAGATGGCTACAAGCCAAAGTTACAGCCGTAGAAAAAGTATAATGTATAACTCGCATGGAATGCTAGTTTTCTACTCGTATGATTTGCAGCATTCGCCTGCGGCTCAAGCTGCTAAATTCATTCTCATGGAAAATTACTAACATTCCGTGCTCGTTGAACAATATACTATTGTTACATCTACTAATTGACAAATCAGTTGAAAAATGATGAAGTCGATAATGTCGAATGACAATGAGGAAGATTGTGAATTCCTTCACGCGGATAATCCTAATCGGTGAATTTTGGCAGATAGGAAATTATGTAATATGAAGACGATAGGCTTCGGACATCCTTCCATATCCAATTCCTAGAAGAAGAAACTCGGTTAATGATTCATTTGAATTAATAATTATTATCATCATCACATATACTCAACTTCTTACCAATAGTGGTCTAATTCTTAGTTAACAATGGGTTATATTCATCAAATCATAAAATATATTGTAATCAATGTAATTTGGTGAGGGAGAATGACAAGTTATTTCCTGTGACGTAAAGTTTTTTTTTTTTTTCATTCAAGTACCATAATTATTATGAATAGTTTCATTTCTTCATTCGCAGTTCGTGTATTTGAGCACTTATGATTCAGAAATATGTAATTTATGGGAAGTGAAAATATTATTTTGTCTAAAAAAACCTCGACGGGAAGGCCTAAGAGAAACATATATTGCCAAAATATCCAGGATTCGTATATGCAGGGTGTTGCGAAATTTTACCGACAACGTTTTACAGGTGATAACCCTCGTGATTTCATAACCACTGAGATAGGGACATACTGACTTCAAAATTTTCCAAAAACGGTCCTGGATGTTCGCGATTCTGGAAATGTCAGTCGATTATTAGTGTTCATAGTAGAGAAATATTCCATAAAAGTATCAGACGAATCGAAGGACCTGTTGGAAAGTTATGCCAAAAAGATTATTTTGTCAAATCTCATAATTCACCCTATATATTGGTAAAGAAGAGAAGAAGACACTTTCTGATGGTCATTAGACATTCTCCTCAAGGGCGGTAGGAGTATTTACAGTTCCTCATGATTCACCCTTTATATAACTGTGGTGTATTGCCACTAGAGTGGCAACACTGCTGGTGGAGGTATCCAGTGGGTGTTGGATAGAAACTGACATTGGCATGGAGATTTTTGTCAGTTCTCTCAGATGTTATTATTTTGTGACAATTCATTAAGAAGTATGAGTTCAATAAAGTTGATGAATGTGTAGTATGTTCCCAGCGAGCACAAAAACATCTCAGAGATGTTAAAAGTACGAGATTTCGAGACATTGAAACCTCCACTGCGATGTTCTGTTCACACATGAATAGAACTATTATAGAACAGCCAATGTCCGCCGCAAGCGGCAATTATCGAGATGTCCTTGATATGTCACAAAACTACCTTCTCCCTAGTTCTTTTTAAAGCCTTTTCATGGACACAACAGAACATTTTCAACGCGTCTTGCGCACATTAAATCGCTGTAAAAAAACATTTTCGAGGTACTTTCCTGAAGCATTTTGTCAAAATGAACTTTTGCATTAGGATTCCATTTCCCTTGAATGAAAAAATGCATTAAAAATAGATTGAACATAAAAATATTTTCCTGATATGAAATTACCTTCTTAATCGATTCCTGAGTAGTGCTTACTACACATGCAGAGACATATAATTGGAAATAGGTTTCCCAATTTTTGAAATGTTCTCCACAATGCATAATTTTGCAACTGCGGAGAAGCTGTGTATTGATGAATTCGTACTTTTATATATTGATTACACTGAGGCACCGAACAACACATCATGCATCTGATGGTCATTATTACAAACTAAATAAGTCTTTTAACACAATAAACTTCACCAAATTCCTTTCTGTTCGTTAGCAGCGTGATGTAAGCGTGACACGCTGCAAACGCGAATGCCAATTGCGAACAAGAAGAACAAAATCGGAAACAAATCAGAATTCATCGTATTGTGACGTAACCATGAGACGTTGTGGTGGGGCAAACAAAGAAAGGGCATAAAAGAACAAAAACAATACTTTTCAATATCCTAAGACCTCTTTGAGAAGTGCACATTACGCCTCAAAAAAACATCCTCATGCCTAAATTTCTAAAACATCCCAAAACATTCCAGGGATACCTCTCAGTAGGCAAACAAAGAAATGCCACAGCAGAACGAAAACAATACTTCAATATCCTTCAAAGACCTCTTCGGTCAGTGCATATTACGTCTCAAAATAACATCTCCATGCCAACATTTTCAAAACATCCCAAAACATCCCAGGGATGTTTTTGCTCGCTGGGTTAGGAGTGTTATTTGAGGCTATAACAATGACACAGTGTATATATATTATAATATTCTTATTGTATTTGAACTTGAAATGGAGGTTTTTTCTGAATAGAATAAAATGAAATAATTGTCTGCAAGAGATGGAAAAAGGCGCTGGTGTACTTACCACTTCTCTTTCATCCCCTGTGCCGAAATCCAGCCACAGAAACCGTTTCCCGTCATCCGAGGAGTTCCTCAGCCTGTCGAAAGAGTACCTCCAAATCGTTCTCGATCCAGTACCGGCTTCGAGCAAGGTGAACCCGTTTTCGTAGTGGATGACCAGTTGCGCTGGCCTCTCTTTCCAAACGCACCCTTGGAACAATGAACAAGTTAGCAGGTCCGGATTGACCACAGGGCAAGAGGGGCACTGATTTACTTTATTATTTTCTTCGTATATACAGGGTATGTCACGACGAGCTTACACTATCTCTATATCGAGAATCAGTCGGGAGAAATCCCTGAAAATATGCATGCTTTTAATATATTAGAATACACTCTCTTCATTCAAAATATCTTCGACAATGCAGTGTTGCCGCTTCTATCAAAAAGAAGCAACAACTTTGTTATTTCAAATGGGACACCCTGTATTTTATCGCATTTTTAGATTCTTCCTGAAGAGTTGATTTTATCGATGTAGCACACTTGGGGTCTATCGAGAAAGATTACAGAGATATAGGGTGTTTAAAATCGAGATTTTTCAACTTTAAGATTTTTTTGTGTCGAAACTATCCATTATCTCAAATTTTGATTCACTATTTATTCATATTGAATCGGAACAGATACAGGGTGGTTTAAGATTCAAAACTCTGATCACCCTGTATCTGTGCCGATTAAATATAAGTAAATAGTAAATTAAAAGTTGAGATAGGAACATGTGAACCGTATTGGCCGATAATGTATAGTTTCGACACAAACAAATCCTCAAGTTGAAAAATCTCGATTTTGAACACTCTATATCTCTGTAATCATTTCCGATAGACCCATGTTTGATATATCGATGAAATCAACTCTTTAGGGAGAATTTAAAAATGCAATGAAATACAGGGTATTCCATTTGAAATAACAAAGTTGTTGCTACTTTTTGATAAAAGCGGCAACACTGCATTGCTGAAATTATTTTAAATAAAGAGATTATATTGTAAAATATAAGCATGCATATTCCATAAGTTTCTTCTGACTGATTCTCGATATAAAGATAGTGTAACCATTCAGAACGTCCAATTGAGTTGAGCTACCTTGTATAATTCCGAATATACGTGGATTACTACCATTTCCATAGTAACCAATTCATATTGTTACATACAAACATACAATTCGAACTTCAAAATCTTCAAGGTTATATACAGGGTGTTTCAGTTTTTTGTAGCAGGACTTTGACAACTTGAAAAAGACATTTTTTAAAGATGAAAATATCGAACAAACATATATGCGTGGGAGCTTCGTTTCTGATTTACAGGTTGTCAAAGTTTCAGATTTTTTTTATGTTTTTTGAATTTTCTCCTACAAATTTCGGAATAATTGAATGAAATTTGTTACACCTAATACACTTCAAAAACACAATATTTAAGGCTATTGTGCGTTTTTGAATACCTACAGGGTGATAGACTTTCAGGGGTCGTACCCAATTTAACCCTGTAGAACTTTTTTGCGTGCCGCCTCTGCTTTCAATGGGGCATATATTCAGATTGTCTCTGCAATTTGGAAACTTTTCGCCCCCATGTATGTTTTTCGAAAACTGTATGGATTTCGAGATGAAAAGCGGAATCCGAACCACTCCTAAGGGTACTGATAAAATTAGAACTGCCGTTCACGAGATTGAATTATTAAAACTCACAACACCTCAACCGTCAAAAGCGACTAAACCGTGTGTCATACAGTCCCTGATATTGAAAGTTTAAACAGTTTAAGTTATACAGGGTGTCCTGGAATTTTCTACAATACAATTTCAGATCTGGCAATCCAGTTAGAGAAGTTTTTTTAAAATGAAAAAAATTGTTCTTAGTTTTTCCTAGTTTTAATTATAATGGTGTTCAAAGAATTCAATCTAATTTCGCAACTGAATTTCATTTGGTATGGAAGCTGTCGGTCATTCTATTTTCCAATAAAATGTTTGAGAAATGTCAAATAAGTGTGTTTGAGAAATAACGGTTTTATTACAGGTAATTCATTTCTGGCATTCATCTCGAGATCCATACAGTTTTCGAAAAATTTACATGGGGGCAAAAAGTTTTCAAATTGAAAAGTTCTACAGGGTGAAATTGGGTACGACCCCTGGAAGTCTATCACCCTATAGGTATTCAAAAACGCTCAATAGCCTCAAGTATTGAGTTTTTGAAGTCTATTAGGTGTACCAAATTTCAATCAATTACTCCGAGAATTGTAGGTGAAAATTCAAAAGACATAAAAAAAATCTGAAACTTTGACACCCTGTGAATCGGAAACGAAGCTTCCACGCATATATGTTTGTATGAGATTTTCATCTTGAAAAAATGTCTTCTTCAAGCTGTTGAAGTCTTGCTACAGAAAACTGAAACACCCTATATACAACTTCTTGCACAATTTCTTCAAAGATTGAAGGAAGTATTCTTTTTTAGTTTCCGTAATCGAAAAGACTTGTAGAGATGACAAATAAGATTAACCAAGTTTCAGTGTATTCATACCCATATATACAGGTTGAATGAAAAGAATGAACTTCTTTCTTATTATTCTCGGAGGGGTGACACACTCACATTTTAACAAAAACCCACATTGATTTTCATTTTTTTTGCGGTGTTATTTAGATACACCCATACCTATAAATAAAAACCTCAACACAGGCAACGATACTTCCAACATTCACAATAAAATTCAATCATATGTACTCAGATTCCATGAAATGATATATCATATTTTTATTGAATGTAAATCTTCGTGACTTCCAGAAAAAAAAAGGAATTTGAAGAAGACCAACACACTATTGATTCAGCAAGTTCCGAAACGTAAATAATGGCCTATTGTTTGATGATCGATATGGATTTCGTAGATCAAAAGACACAGATGTAGCTGTGATTGATGTCATTTCAGATATTCAGTTACGAATGGATAACAATCATAAATGCGGCATTCTGTCTTTGAATCTATGTAAGGCCTCTGACACTCTGAATCATAATATTTTATTGACTAAATTATCATCAATAGCAGGTGTCATAGATTTGTCATGATTTGTTTCAAAATTTTTTGAAGAAAAAAAAACAGTATATTGGTGTGAATAATACTTGTAGTTCCTTGATGAATATTACATGTGGTGTACCACAAGGGTCAGTTTTTGGGCCAATTCCGTTTTTAATTTACATCAACTTAACATTTACTTAGAACTGAAACGAAAACTAAAATTATTTCCAGATAATACAACAATAATCAATACTTCGAAAGATTTTAACGATATCAATAATGATATTGAAAATTATTTCGAACAATATCATCTTCTCAAACGACCAATAAGTTGACTCTCAATCATAATGAATCTACGTTAATGTACATCTGAAAAAAAACAACTGACATATTGAATAATACCCCAAAATGTTTCGATGACAAATCCATTGAACATACAGATATTACAAATTCTCAGATCTTTATATTGAAGAACAATTATTGTCGTAGAGTCAACATATATAGATCATTTGAGGAGGAAACTGAAACCTATCGGAGGTATTTTATTAATATTTATTTCCTAATATATATCCAAAAAATTACTCAATTATCCTTATAGAAATGAAATATTGCCTCCGCTCATGTTTTTTGTTTCAAGAAGCCGATGCTTTCCATGACATAATGATTTTGAACACTTGCTGTGATTTTGAGTTCATTTTTGGATTCGCATAAAAGCTATTTGAGTTGAAATTCATACTTCATTGAATGTTGCTGTTTTTGTTATAATAATAAAAAAATACCAAGTAAGCTATCGTTGTATTCCTCATAGGATGACAGGCAATTTTCAATGACAATATACAGGGGGTGCCATTTGAGAATAAAAAGTGGGGGATAGCTGCCAGAGAACTGTCGTATGTGATAGATTTGTTATTATGTCATGAGGAAGGTACTTCAATGCCATTCAATTTTTCTATCTTGTCAAATAAGCGAGAAATCGCCTGTGTACGATAGCTTGGGACCCTAGGTATAGCTAGTGGTGGATAGCCTTGTTTTTATACAAAACGATTGTTTGTTTTCGATCAATAAATTCGTACCAAAATATCTCTGTCACCTTCGAAAATAATTCCTGATTGAAACTGTGATATCACTTTTTTTCAAACAAATTCAACTCAGATCGAAAATCCAACAAGAATAGAGATAAAAATAAAATTTTCTCAGAGAAATTCCATTGAAATCGAAAATTCAACAAGAATAGAGATAAAACCTATTACTCAACATGACATTCATGAATTCCAAGTCCGTTCTTAATCATTCACTCATGGTACAATGCTATTCGCGATGAAAAATAAGCATACGCCACCTATCGGAGTTCTTGAAAGCTGTCACAGCGGCCTTTTTAATTCGTTTACTTTGCTTTCATTGGTTCAAATTCGTTTTTTGTTTGGGCTTATTGATCAAATCATCGAAACAAACCGCTCAGAAGTGTTTAAGTTGTTGCCGTCAGGTAGCGTGACGTGGTATTTTCCATCTGAATTTCAAATATCGCAAAGTTTCGATTTGCCCTCCTCAACATTATGCATTATCGAATTGTGACAGTCTGTTTCTAAGGTAGCGATATGATAATAATGATACTCACTACAAAGCAGCTCCCTCTGCGTGACCGCACTCGCATGACTCCCATTAACCAGCGCCTTGGCCCACTGCGCCACGTCTCTGCGCGTCTCCGCCCTCAGAGCGTGTTCGACCACGCCCTCCGCCGTCGCGCACCGCACGCTGAACTCAGGCAGTTCCCCGCCCCTTTTCCTGGCCGTGCCCACTAGGCGGGTCGCGATCAGCGGATAGGCTTCGGCCGGGGTGAGCCACGCCTCTCCCGACCAGGGGGCGGATTCGTACATGCGCAGGTCGCTGTCGGTCACTGCGGCGAAGAGGGAGTGCCAGCGGTGTTCGGGAGGGGAGGAGGAGGAGTCAGAACTTGACATGGTGTTCTACAATGAAGAAAATATGAATTCAATTCTTTCGTACTCATTCTTGAAGATAGATATTTGCGGCGGTTTTGTTGCATTTTGAGATCACCCCTGTAACTCAGCCATCTTTCAACTGTGGAAAATGTGAAAAACGGGCTTTTTGATTTTTCTAACAAAGATATATTCAAGGTTTTCTTTTCATATAGAAAACTTTGCTGATTTTTTCATATTCAAATCATGGATGCTTTGCGATTCTCAAAAATACAAAGCACTCTAACAATATTTCGGGTACCAGCCTTGAATTTTTCAGTTTTTAAATTAGGTGTAGGTAGGTGCCAAGTTGAAAAAGCGAGTTTATGATGTTTCAAGATTCCGTTGAAGAACTGCCTTCTTCTCAAAGCCATACTATGAGGACATCTAGTAGGTATTGTTCACGCGTAAATTGGCAAGATGCATGCAAAATGAGCAGCTTTCAGGAAATTCCGTCTGGGAAATAGAAACACAAAGAATATAGAAAAATCATATCCGCAACATACAAGAGACACGAAATCATCAATGATGTTAATTAATATCACTCGAACTTTTTTTATTTGATGAATTCCCTTACTAGGACGCGAATTCATCCAATGAGTATAAACATTTCTGTTTTCACTGTTGACAAAACTGAAAATTTTAATAGCGCAAATGTCAATTTTTCTCGAACTTATATTGTCAGTAAAATATCAAATCTGTGGAAATGTTGCTATTCTGATAGTTGTCAAGTGTCAATTATTTCATAGAATTACACTGAAGCATTTTCTTGTTCGAAGTAGATTGGACATCATCATTTGATACGAGTCCTGTTGACTTCAGGAGAATCAACTCAAGAAATTGCCAGGATTTCTGGTAATGCAGAAACATACTGAAACATTGAATCATGATGAATTCTTGCACAAAATTTGCAATACAATTCGATGAAAAATATTGTACGTTAAGAAACGCAATTTTGTGTAACCTTGTGATTTTGCGAACTCTTGCATAAAAAACAACTCCGTGAGATATCTCAACCATATCAAACTTTTTGTAGTTGATACAAATATTGGAATATTATTCGACATATTCATAAACTTCCAAAGGTAGGGGTAGGTGACAAAAATTATGAATATTCTGCACTTGCTTTCGTTTCCATAGCTACCAACTAATCAGGTCCACAGCTTTCATAATATATCAACAATAAATGAACCTGAATATTGGTGAAATCGAAATCAGTATGTGACGAAACACTGTGTCAGCAATAAGTTGGATATACAAATTTGTTTCATTTCTGAAACATATTCTTGATGTCCATCAATGAGAAATCTACAAAAAAACTGACCATATACTCGAGATATCATATAAGTGTCATTATATTTGGAAAACTCGAAGCATCAACGTTGGAAGAATTTTACAGGGTGGGCCAAATTGGACGTACTAGATAGACAAGAACTGATATCGGTGCCTGTTGATCAATTCACATGACAAACACAATGGTGAAAACTGCATATCAATATCTATCATCGTTTCACAGTGACAAGGTGTTTTTCGAAAATATGAATTTTTGAAAAGTGGCTGAAACCCATTTTTTTCCAATGAAAACATCTTCAAAGCATTGTGTTTGTGATGAAAATTCATCCTCAGGCATTGAAATCAGTCACTATATACCTAAAGTCTCAAAATATAACTTTTCCATCAAAAGAACAAGTTATATTCTTGAACAAGATATATGAAGGCCGATTTCAGTGCCTCAGGAATGATTGTTATCATAAACTCAATGCTTTGCAGTTATTCACATAAGAACATGCAATATTCGCAGAAAAAAAAATTGTAGCCACTTTTCATGAATGCCCATTTTCGAAGAACATCTTGTAACTCCGAAACGAAGACAGATATCGATATGCGGTTTTCATCATTGAGTTTTGCATGAGAATCGAATCTCAGATACCTACATCAGATTTCTTCTATCTAGTTGGAGACTAGGACTTTTTTTTCAAATGACCGATTTGGCCCACCCTGTACAGTGTCATCGACCACGCCCACCGCCATCGCGCACCGCACGCTGAACTTGGACTAGAGTCTCGAGATCATACCCGTGTGTTCACCGAACACGCCCGATCGTTCCCTAAGCGGCGGGGAAACGTAAACGGGCAGCAGTAAGTACGTTATGAATATTGGCACGTGCCTGAATCATTTTGGAGTCAAATTTGTCAATTTAATGTACTTCGAAACGGAACACTAGTAGTTGTGCCTTCATGTTTTACATAATTATATTATAGGTAGACATCAAATCAATAAACATAGTGCTCTCGCCATCGGTATTTGCTGAACTTCGCTATGGAAAAAATGTTGAATAACTATATTGGGATGAAGAATGATATGATCTATACAGGGTGTATCTAAATAACACCGAAATAATTCAAGGGATGATTCCTTGTGATATAATATGATGAATAAAGGTCATATTATAAACATGTGTCCTAAACTTGCTTCGTTTTCGAGGTACAGGGTTACGTCCTGATTTCGAATCCGAAGTGATTTTCAACCTATCTTGTCTCCTAATATCATTTTCCGGAAATGTTGGTGGGTCCATGACCAGAGCAGTGTTTTTCACTGAAGATTACCTCACTTTGGTAATAGTTGGTATATATATCTATCGCTCCTTAAAATTGAACAGTTACGTTAGATATACGGGTTGATATTCCATTATAGAAGTGACATGCACACTGTTTATATTTTTAAATACATCCAGTGGGATTGAATTTTATTTTATGTTGAATATTAGAGTGTGTTTTTTTATGTGATATATTTGTTTTGTTTATTTCAAATATATATTTTTTTAGTAGGCATACTAGTACTTCTTTTATATACCTAATTCTGAAATCTGATCCACCCTGAATTTGTTTCAATTAAATGGCATCAGTAGATAGTAAATAGAATGTTAGGATAGGGACACATGTAAGCCATTTGGACAAATCAATATAGGTATTGTATAGTTTCGATACAAAAAAATCTCGATTTTTCACATTCTACGTATAGGTATACCTTGAGCTCGATCAACGAAATCATACCTCAATTAGAAGAATCGAAAAATGTAATAAAATATAAGGTGTTCCATTTTGAATAACAAAGCTGCTACTACTATACTACTAAGTACTACATAACTACTAATAATAATTTCTAGTGAAGCAGATGAACATTATCAAAAATAATTTGAATAAAACGAGCGTCCTCGCCAACAAAACATAAGCATATAATATGTACATATAGTTTCATGATTTTCGATGAGCGGTTCGCTATTTACATGTAGGACTCGTCGTGACATAGCTAATTATTGCAAATCGAATCATCGCTTTCATTATCTGATAGGTCGCAGTAGATCACTTGATGCCTATCAAATGTTTCCTATTTATTCGAAAAAAAAATGTTGAAATGTGATCAAGAAAACTGTTGGTGGCCCACCCCGTACTACAAAAACAAAGACAGCATGAGAGAAGCTGCCTGCCCACTCATTGATTCATTGTATCATGACTGCCTGGCCTGCTTACGTCTTGGTCTCCCCACCGCTTAGGTAACGATCGGGCGTGTTCGGTGAACACACGGGTATGATCTATAGACTCTTGTTGAACTTGGGCAGTTCGCCGCCCCTTCTCGCGACCGCGCCCACTAAGCGGGTCGCGATCAGCGGATAGGCCTCGGTCGATGTGAGCCACGTCTCTCCCAATCGAAAGGCGGATTCGTACATGCGCATGTCGCTGTTAGTCACTGTAGCGAACAGAGAGTGGTAGCGATCCCTATGAGGAACGAGGGGGAGGGAGGATAGGTTGAGTCAGAACTCGACATGGTGTTCTACTAAAGAAATTATACAGGTAGTCTTGGATTTAGTTCAATGAACAGTACATTGTACCAGTATTCAACTTGATGAAGCAACTGTGTTAGCAAAACATGTCTTGTGATTGAGAATTTTGTGAAAATATTATCGTTTGTGAAGTTTTCGCATTCGATTCAGACAAGTCTCAAATACTCTTATATCAATTTTTGAAACAATATCTTATGTGGAGTGTTTTATATGAACGTAACAGTTTTTGAATAATCGCATTTTTCAAGTCACGCATGTACCTATGATAATTCTTGGAGATTCGATGATTCCAGAAATGATGGTAGTTAGAAATGAATCATCTGCCTACAGAGTGAGACGAATAACGAATTGAATCTCTAGAAATGTTGGTTTGTTACCAAGAAATAGGAAGAGAAAAAAAATTATACCTATCTAAAAATGACATCGAGCTATTAGAATACGACAAAGAACAAAACAGCAATTATCACTGACAAGTTCCTATTCTTGTATTATTGATGAAATCTCTCTCGTTCTATATACACTTTCCATATCTTTTTTCGCACGTTATTTTCATCTCTCCTTTTCACATTGCAGAGAGATACCAGCAGAAGAACTGAGAAGAGTTGGAAATAACGTGAGGAAGAGATAATGATAAGTGTATAAAGAATGGAGAAGATCTGATCAAGAATACAAAATTCTGAACTCTGAACTCGTGAAGACTGGTTGCTCGTCTAGTTCTCTGACTAACCCTCTGATATTTTTTGTTAGGTATTATCCCGCTTCTTCTTTATTTTTATTCCTTGGTGAACAATCTGAATTTCTAGTGATTTCGTGACCAAATACTGACTGAATCATCTTGCCTGATATCATTCAAATTTTGAAAATAATTATACACGGCAACTTGAAAAAAACAATTATATAAAAATTGTGATGTTGATGAAAAAGAATTCTTATGAGATAGTGTTTTGAACATTCAAATAGGAGTATTCAGGACTTATCCAATTCGTTTGCCATCATTCTGTAGAAAATGATCCGCTTTTTTCAATTTTGCTGGAGTTTCACTAGAGTTGAATTTGTGTTGGATGTGAGGTATAAAATGTTAGGCAAGCCAAGGTTAGTTCAGTTCATTGTACCAGTATTCCACCTGATGAAGCTACTGTGATAGCGAAACATGTAGTGTAAATGAGAATTTTATGGAAATCTTATCGTTCGTGAAAACATTTACTAAGGATTTCCATCAAGTAACTAACGGCCAAGTCAATTCAAAAATGTCTTGGACTTGTTGAAAACTCATAAAAATCATGACTTGAAAGTTGCATGAATTGAAAAAACGTTGCAAAAAATCATTAGAGCTCAGTCATAGCACCACTACACGGGAAATATTGCCACGGTGGCAAGTCAAGTCAATTAGAGTAGTTGTTTTGTGAATATCCCTTTTTCGCTGTAAGCGGGAATAGATTCACTTGACTTTGAGTGGACTGTTTTTGATGTATGCGTTTTGCGTGAGAGTTTGATGTTCTTACCGAGTTTTCTTCCGACGACGTAACCACACGTAACTGCAGCCGGCCGGCGGTAAAGCAGAAGCACAGGATAGTTCGGTAACACGCACCCAATTTGTCCTGTTACACGTCACTAAAGTACGCGCCAAATCACTTAACTAAGATTGGTGGGAAATCACTGAATTGTTAGATCATAAGATCAATGATGAGATGAAAGTTGATCTGAATATATAAAGATCAGTGGGAAAACAAGAGAGTCAAATTGATTGATTCGACAACAACAAAACGTAGTTGCGGTAGCTGTCGAAGTCAAAAATCGTCTGACCTTTTCACTTGTTATGCCCAAAAAGTTCAGGGGGCGCTCGCGGCGGCCTCAACATCAAACTCTCGGACTCGCGAAAGCAGACATACAGGGAGGATGAGTTTAGTGAATAGTATTAAAATATAACATTAAGAATGAATATTATCAACGTACAATTACAACACAATACAACTATGAATTTATGATGGTGAAAACAGAACAGTAGTGTTCCTTCTTCCGAGCGAACAGACCGGGGTTCGATCCGTTGTCCAGGTAATCTTTTTTTCCAATTTTTTTTATAAGTAATAAATCGGAAAAAAGTAGGTATGAGTTATTGGTTAGGCCGATAGTGATTCGCTGTTCCTCCTCAGGATCGGCTGGAAATTTTCATTGCTTACCTCTGACCTGGGCCTCCTGAGCAGCCACCCTATATACCTGAGGTCGGCGATGGCCCTGGAGGCCTCGCGAAGGGCAGCGGCGGTGAGGGCATCGAGGGCCGAGTGGAGGGTGTTGAACCAGGCGGCCGCCTCCGAAGGGTCGGCCGCCCTCAGAACGCAGCTGTGTACCGCATCGGGAGAGTGAAGTTCCAACGTTCGGCTTTCTGAAGAAGAATAAGGAAAATTAGTTGATTTGATAGATAGATAAGGTGAAAATCTGAAGATCTAAGGAAGAATAAGTATAGACATATTTGTATTTGGAATGCGGAATTCCTGCCCGTCTCATGTGGCATTACAAGTCGGCCGACTGGGAAGGTCTTGGTATGTTTTTTTCGGCGTTTCCATAGAAGAGAGTTCGTTTCTCCTCAGCTGATCCAACACGATGTGCTGAGACAATTTCTGAAATCATCATGTTATGATGCAAACCTACATACCGAACACTGCAAGAAGAACATCTTCCGATAACGCCTGGTTCAGTAGAAACTGATCTGGAGTTGTCGCTTCTAAACAGGCAGCATTCCATTGATGACAGAAAAATCCATGCCCTGAGTCTAGAGCAGAAAATGTCGGGGATAGAGGCATATGCAAGCAGACAATTCGATCATCAAAGGATGCTCATAATGCCAAAATAAGATCAAAACTTGTTGGATGTCCTAACGGATCCCGTTCATTTTGGTCCTTTGTCAAAACTGTAGGAAGAAACTTCAATTCTAGCTCGTTTCTTCCTCTAACCAAGGAAGATGGGACACTAGCCACAACTGCTCAGGAGAAAGCCAACATTTTTGCGCATTTATTTGCTGGAAATTCCACTCTGAATTCATCAGGAAAACAATCTCCAAACAAAACGCCAATTGACAGTCAAATGCCTGGGATCACCTTTCGCCAACGTATTATAAGGAAGATCTTGTTTGGTCACAACACCGATTGTTCTGAAGAAATGTGCTCCCGAACTAACACCTGTTCTCTACAAGTTGTTTGATTACTCGATTGCACTGCTATCTATCATTTCAAAGATCAAGGAGAAAACTATCAACATCGAGCTCATGAAATACCTGGAACACTCAGGCAATATATGGCTTTCGTCATCCAGAAAACAACTGGTGACCTGCACGCTTACGTCTCCCATACATGGCAGCAATCTATTGAGAAACATGGTGAAACCTCAGCCGTGGCACTTGATATCTCCAAGGCATTCGATCGAGTCTGGCACCACGGACTCCTTGCCAAGCTTCCATCTTATGGCTTACTTCCCCAGCTATGTTCTCTGCTAGCTAGTTTTCTCTCAAACAGGTATCACCATGTAGTGGTCGACGGAGTTTCATCTGACTCTCTTATCATAAATGCTAGTGTTCCGCAAGAATCAATTCTAGTACCAACACTATATCTACTCCATGTCAACGATTTGTTGGAAGCAACTTCATGTCCAGTACACAGCGCCGCAACCAAAACACAAGCATGGCTTTGCTCTAGACAAGCCGATCTCACTGTGCCCAACATAAGCTTGTCAGGAGTATCCATACCTTTGAAGACATCCATTTCGATGCTTTTTATTACTATCATCAATAACCTTGCTTGGGAAAATCACGTGAGATCAATTGCTAAAAGTGCATCCCAAAAACTCAGTTTTCTGTCTCGGGTCAGGAACTATTTCACTTCCAGTCAGCTGCCCATGATCTATAGGACCAGGGGCGGATGGGACATGATAAACCGGCCCGGGAAAACAAACACTGATGGCGGCCTGGCCTATAGATACCTTATCTTAATAAAAAACATGTTTTTATATAATAATCTATTTTCTTGTTAGATGAACCTATGGGTCTTTATGAGAGAAAAAAAAAAGAAAAAATGTGCTTCGCTTCAAGCATTTAATATGAAACAGTAGGAAACATTGCACCGAAAGAAAAATCTCAGTAATAATTATCAAATATTTGTTAACGTCAAACTTGTTCATAATCAATTAGCCATATTCATAATTAAAAAGTCTTATTCACCAAAATCGTACCTGTTTCTGAGCATTATTTATTACCAATAAATGATTTATTACTGTCACATTTGTTCATCGTGAACAGCAACATTTAATAATTAACAATTCATCTAGTACGCTGATATGTGTTTATTGATTATGATAAATTTGTTTATTATAAATATACGTAATATAAAGGATAACAATGGATATTTCATTTTATTCTTCGTTTGGTAATAATTAAAAAACTGTCATGCGCATGGGCCATCATTTTAGTTTAGCTTCCATCTTTTATCGCGTGAGCATCTTCTTGATATCGTTGCTGATTTTCATTTGATTTCGACCAACGCGAAAGTTATGAAGTGTGATGGTTATATTAGTTCAATCCCTTATATTATGACAGTGCGGGTTTGTTTACATTTGGACATATGTATTTACGTCTACAATCAGCTTCTTGGGATAATTTCATGTAGGTACAACATCACATATGAAAAAAATGGCGGACGACTATCAGTGCATCATCAGTATACAACATTTAGTATGTTCTCAGAAAAACAGTGGTGCATGTGATGCTAATCAATCAATATTGGAACATTTTGAACGTAAGTAGGTGCGAATGCCTATATATGTATAGTATGCATGAGTATTCTCTGATATCATTCGTTTTACATGAATTTGAAAGGGAGTACTATATTATTATGTAAACGTAAACGTGAGTACGCCATCATAGCTGAGGGTTGATGAGTTATAAGGTAATAGGTTCATACGCAACCATCAGCCCTGATCGAATAGTTTGATTATATACTTAGATAAATAATATTCGTTAACTGTTACTAAATTTGTTATTGATATAAGGCTTAAAAACATTCCCTCAGGGTGATTCACGACAGGAAATTTAATAAAACAATTAACAATTTTTCTGAAATGAAGACATTTAATTATATCAGCGAACATAATATTTATTTATTATCAATAAAATGTTTCTTCTCATGCTGTACCTACTTATAAATGAATATTTGGTTACTAAAAACAAAGATTTTGAAATAATGAATATCGTTTGGTGTGGGTGAAGAAATATATATTCTCAGATAATAAAGGACTATTATCATGAAATAATCATAAATTAACCATGCACGAGGCTTATTCATGGGGGTGTGAACAAATAATTTGTTTTTCTCAAACAAACGTTTAATAAGCCATATTTCAATAACGGATTTGGTAACAGTTAATCATATTTATTTATTATAACCAAACAGTTCTTTCAGTGTGTGTATAAAACTAATAGTATATTATTCAACGAGCGGTAATGTAGGTCATAACTCACGCAGATGAAGTTTGCAGCACGAGCCACAGGCGAGTGCTGTAATTCATCAAGTGAGTTATGACCATTACCGCAAGTTGAATACTATACTTTATCTACGAATATTACAATAAATACTAAGTTACAAGTACAGAGAAAGAACTTTATTGACAAATCTTAATATACTTAATACATATTTTAGATTCAATCACTCATTTTGTTTATTGAAAAAATTAACTGTGAAGTTTGAACAACCAGTAAACTGAATTATGGAAGTTTATTGTTTCTTTTTGTGTTTGTTGCATATATGTTGTTGATGTACTAACTGATTGAGCTGTTATAGAACTGTATATTTTATTTACAGTATCTGTCTTATTCTTTTCGGAATCATCAACGTACCCCTCAGCCACAGTAGTTGATCGCCAACCGCCATGGCGTTCCAGTGCCGTACGGCATCTACTAATAAAGTTGCCGACGAGCGGCGAAAACAATGCCCTGTATATAAATTATTACAGTCTGGTAATTTCAGAAATGTGGCAATGTCTTTCCGCATTGCTTCAAATTTATCAATGCCATTCTTTGTGAGTGATATTTTCCATATGGAAATTTAAATGATAATCCATCTTCACTATCTGAATTCCTCAAAAAAATCACAATAATTGTATCAGCCTAGTTTGAGAACGTCAAAATTATTCAATTGACATCACTCCCCTCAATAACAATAATGGACTGTTCCCTTTCGGCCAACTGGCTTGTACAGAAGTACTCAGTCATCTTGATTTTCGATTCGTAAATAATTCCAAGAGCGTTTCCCGATGTAAGTATTATAGTGAGTTATAGTAGCGAGAGTTATTATAACTCACGCTGTTTGTTTACAGATACCATTAATTGTACAAAGGCAGTTGAATCATTGATATATAATTTAATAGGAGTAGATAAAGAAATAAACTCTACACAGTTATACGAAACAAGCACCAAGTAACAAAAGACAAATGATAACATCGAGGAACTTTAATAAAAGGAAAGGAACTGAACATTTGGCATACATTGCAAAATAAGAAAACAACGGAAAATCTAAAACCTAATGAATCCAATCCAAATTATATTTTATTAAAAATAGTGCAAATTAATAAGGATTTAACGAAAAAGTAATCTTTTCATTGAAGCGCTCTGTCCAGCTAAAGCATTGATAACTTCTTCATTGTCAACCTGGTTCAACACAGTACGTTCAATATTCATTAACATGAATGACCCAAGTCTATTATCAGATAAGGAATTTCTTAAGCGAGTTTTTATAAATTTAAGAATAGAGAATGACCTTTCACATTGTACTTGAGATATGGGAAGCGTTAAAAGGTAGTGATATGCAGTAAATAGCGAAGAATAGGCCCCCTGAAACATATTATATTTTGTAATAACAGAATAGCAGCATATAGCACAATTTTCACAAGCAGCCGATTCTTTGGAATTGGGGACACTATCAGATTCTTCTTCAACGTCAATCTCTATGTCCTCAATATCTGACCTCTCTGATATTATATAAGTATCTTCGATGGTCAATTTGAATCTGTTCCAGTTTTTTGCAAAGTTGAGAAGTTCTTCTCTTAAATGTTCAGGAGTAGCAGACGAATTATATTTGATGATTTTCGCAGGAAGTCTTTCCATACAAGCTGAAAGCGATTCAAGAGAGTCATTGCATGCAATTTGTTCGAAGTTTTTTGGGTCTAAAGCAGCTAAATCCCTACATAAATCCATATTTTTTGAAAACCTTGTCTCCATCGAGTTCAATGCAGTGTCCATCAAGATATTGAAGGTATTCACTCTGAACTTGTCTACTTCCGTATTTGGTTGTTCATCGATAGTTGCCTCATCAAAAAAAGTCTTAACCCTTCTACGACGAA